AAGTGCCCTTGTTTCATCAGAACAATTGGGCCGAGGTGGTTCAGGTGAGCGTTGTGGCCCTTGGGCCTCTTGTTGGATCAACTATCTGAGCTTCTTTTTAGAAGACAGAATTTTAAGGTAAGTCACTCCTCAAATTTCTTATATCAAGGATTTTTTGAGAAGTATATTTTGGATAAGTAATCATAAAGTGTGACTCAAAATCGCAGAGAAAATACGGGGTCAGTGTGCATCGTACTGATGTATGGTACATTTAAGTTGACCTTTTTGCACTTAAATTTTAACCTTTTAGTTTATTACTTTTATACAATCATCTCTTATTATATTTTATCAGCTGTAACCATGGCAATAAATTTATTCTTACTTTACGTAAAATAGTTTGAATAATATTTATCATTGATCAAATCTTGCAAATTAATGCGCGTAAATAATTATGTGACCTTTTTGCACTAAAATATAACATATTTTGGGTATTAGAAAAATAAATAGGCAATATAATATTTTCATATATCAAGCTTTGTATGACTTAAGTGCTGATCAGTCATAAGTATCGAGTAGTTTAAAATAATGAAAGAAAAAGTTGGGGTCAGTGATGTTAATTTTGAAATATTGGACAAAATATGTGATTTTCAGGCAAAAAATGGTGTAAATTTTATCTTGACTTCTTTTATATATCTCCAGTTTTTGGCAAAGTTTGTTGAAAGAAGATGTAAAACTTGTTCATAAAATATAAATTAAGACCTATATCAAATATTCCTATCAATATCATAACGGAAATTATTCTCCGAGTAAAAGGATGTGAGGCTAAAGTTTCAAGATATTAAACTCATGCAGATTTGCAGAATTTTATGCTAAATATCCTTCCACCACAAGAAATAGTCCCTCATAAATCTTGTATCTTTGAAGGCTTTTTAACAGTTTTTTTCTTTGATTGTTAAAAAATATACATTATTGAATATAATTATTTTAGAAAAATTGAATTTTAATAAATATTTTTGAAGTTAAAGGTTCTGCGTGAACTTTTCTAAAAAGCTGACGAGTGACTTACCTTAAGTCATTTCTTTTCATGCCTTTGTGTTTTGATGTTAACAACTTAGCCTCGATTTTGCCTGAAGACAGGAGATACGCATGGCTGTGAAAAAAAGATTCAGATTTCACGACAATAACAATACATGTATGTTATAAATTCTAAAGTGAAGGGTCCTCATATTCAAACGTTGATGGTTCTTGAGTTCCAAGCCAAATTATATCACATTTTAATACCTTTATAGTTCAACGGCTATTCTTTGTCCTAGAAATTTATTTAATCAAAAGTAGGCCGTAATTACAGGTTTTCTTTTCAAGTACTGGTTGCTAACAAAATAATTCATTTTGAACATGAAAGTTTTCAAATATTGCAATTTAAGCTGGTTTATTTTGGACTTGAGTTTCTGAATTAACTAGTCTGGCTGTTACTATGAAAAAGGATGAAGGTTAAGAAGAGTGGTTGATCTAAAAAAACTATAATAAATAAAATTGTGAAAAAGGCACAAACGCGGACCCCTGGAACTTAAAACTCTAGATGTGGGATGAGGTGCCTAGGAGGAGTAAGCATCCCCTGTTGACATATGACAATCGCCCATGAGCCCTGTGTATTATTATCTGAAATGTGGAAGAGGATACGACCATGGACCATTAACTGGTTTTTTCAAGTTTCACAAAGACCCCATCTGGAGTATATGAATACAAATAATTTATGAAATAATACAATAAAATTATAACAGAGCAAGATGATTGAACCCACACTTTTTAAAGGTTATGTCCCTTGGCCACCATTTTTGGGGAAGAACTCGTAAAATTCTCACAGAAGCCTCTGCTGTTTTCCGAGTTTGTAATTTTGACATTTGACTGATTGTTGCATTTGTTCCTCAATACCAGAACATACATTTAGTGTGAGATTTAAACCATAAAGATACTAATTGGTGTTACAAAATAATTGTTTTTGTTGATTTTGCTGAAGGGGGGGGGGGTTACTTTATTGCAGTTCACTTTAATGATAGGATGTAATATGCAAATAGTATTAGATATAGCTATTGTTTTGTAGATATATTAACATTTTAAAATCAACTGAATTTTAGATAACTTCCCAGTACTTCCAGTGCTTTGATTTGAAGATCTGTATTGTTTGTAAAAAAAAATATCCTTCTCATTACATAACAGTGACATTAACAGACATAATGAGCTTTCATCCTTGTCGCTAATTAAATCAAAATATGAGCTGACAAATTCCTTAGTATTTTCCTTATCCGTACATTAGAATTTTGTAATGAATTCAGATTGTTGACCCTGGAACCTTTTTATGGTGATAAGGAAATTAATTAAGCCAACCTCCAGGGGGACTGTCCTATAAATAAAACATAAAGTTCCTTGCCAAATAAAAATTTAGCTATTAATTTTTTTTTTAATTACTATGAAGTCACTAATTTTCATTGGGGTTTAATTTTCATTGGTTTGGAGAGACCCACGATCGAATTATGTCCACAATCCCCACAAAATCCCAACAATCCACACAATCCCCACAAAATCCTAGCAAAATCCACACAATTCCCACAAAATCCTAACAAGATCCCCACAAAATCCTAGCAAAATCCCCACAAAATCCTAGCAAAATCCACACAATCCCCACAAAATCCCACAATCCCAACAAAATCCTAACAAGATCCCACAAAATCCCAACAATCCCCACAAAATCCCAACAAACCAATATTTTTCCTTTAAACCTCGAAAAAATTAAACCCCACAAAAATATGTAATTTTACAGTAAATTAAAGTACTGGGCTAAGGATGCTTTGTGACAAAGAATTAGGGTGTTGGAGAAATGTTTTAATAAGGAATCAGGATACAAATGGAAAATAAATATTAAAGCCAGGCTAACATGGACAATTTTTCATATAAATTTACATGATGCAAATTTCTTTTCTTGAGATGTATGAAAAGGGAAAATTTCCTAAATTCTTGTCTGATTCTCTTGAATTGTGAATACAATATATTAACAGCTAATAAATTAAAAACATTTGATGCAAAATATAGATTAAACCTTTTATTAATTAGTGTTTGGTCTCTAATCTCTCTCCAAATTGGCAAAATTTTTATCCGTGCTCTATGCATATATAGTTTATTATACATGTATCTAACTAAGAAATGAAACATAATGCTTTAACCATCAAATCCACACTAGTGAAAAGAAATCTGTTCATTTAAACAATAAAATGCTTTCTTTGTTTGTTATTACTGGAATTAACGGAAGCAGCTGTTGCAGAAAAAATACAGAACCTGCATAAGCGGGTTATGTAAATTTTTTCTGCAATAGCTGCGACCGTTCATTCCAGTAATAACAAACAAAGAAAGACATTTTATTGTTTATATTTATATCTGTTTAAATTATCATTTTAAGTAGGATTAAAATTATTAATTATTGTGTTAATGATGCGAACATCTTTGTGCGTTTCATTGATGGAACGGCCACTGATCAAGAAATCTGTACAGGTGATATGCCTAATGTAGTTCATGCAGTGATGAACGCAATGGGTTTTCTCAAGAAATAAAGAAGAAAATATTCAGTGGATGTAAATATAAATATATAAACTGCTACTGTGGTTGGTAGCTACAGGCATAAACTTCTATGAAATTAATTAATATCACTTTATCAGTGTCAACTACATTAATTTAGTTTTATTGCTTTCTATATCTAACAATCAGCAACTGTAGGTTGGGTTTGATCTTATCTTCTAGTAATAAACTTTCTGATTTGAAGAAACAAATGAGCTATCTTAAATATAAACAAAACCTAGAAATGACTGCTTGAGTAATTCTAAATCAAATCCTGTCTCTGAAAAGGACAAACAAGGGGGGGAAATTCTGTCAAAACCTCTGTAGAAAGGGCATACTTTAAGTAAATCAGTCTGCATTTAACTTAATACTATTGCAGTTCAACAAGTTCAACATAATTTCATCATTATCTTTATGTGGTCAGGAAGTGTTCAGATACAGATTCCAAAATAACTGTCACAAGTATATAAATAGAGCTACAAATGACTTAGCTTTTCCTTGTTTAATATTGCATCTGGCCAAGGAAATTAAACATCACAACATATATAAAGATTAATGTGTAGCAAGCATATTTCAGGTAGAATTTTTGTAACCATCTGTCTTACTTTAAAAATTGCTCATTTGAACTTTCATTCAGGATAACTTAAATTAATTTTCCTTAGTAATTTATTACTTTACTGCAAAGAGTTCATACACAGTTCGCCTTTAACACATTTAGGCCTTGAGGTTTTTTCTTCTATTTCCTTCATTACAATGAATTCTTTCATCTGACTAATAATAAAAAAGTTAAAGGAAGTCTGTAGTTTTAATCTACTGGGACAGTCTTAAGAGTTCATCTCAGCCTTTCTTCTCTTTAGATCTGAGTACTCAGATTTTAACAGGAGAAGTTTTTGTTTGAGGTTTGCGATGGCAATGGTGGTCTCCAATGAGGACTTAAACTGCTTCTGACACTGTCGTAAACTTGGTGGAACTAGGACACCAAACCATTTCAGAGGATCATGCTGACCTTTCTTCTTCGTGGTTGTCTTTTTGTCTGGTGGAGAAGAATTTTCTTCAGAATTTCCAACATTTCTTTTTCGTAATCCTACATTTTCTACTTCATTGGTCTCATCCTCTGTAATCCCCAGACTGGTGAAAGCGGCAAACATTTCTTCTTCCTCCTCTTCACCCGTGACCTTCACTTTTGTCGATGCCTGCATGTCTTCTTCGTGAATCTGATCCATCCCTACAAACTTGACCCCCATGCTGTAGCGAGCTCTGGACATGTTCCAGAAGCCATCCTTGATTTGGTCGTTAAGTTTCTCCTGTTCTTGGTAGAGCGATGCCAAAGTGTCAAAGAACAGAATCAACTTGGCATCCATTTCCTCATTCAGCAGTTGTAACTCTGACATCTACAATACAACAAACAGATCAACAAATTACACATATGTATAATTGTATACGTAATTCAACATCATGTAATGATGAAAAAATTACATGAAAATTATAAGGCCTAATCTTCTAGTCAAGAATACTGTATTTAGATGTAAATATTGAATACAGTTTAGGGAGAAAGATAAAATAAACCAGACTGAATTTGAACCCACGCCCTCAGAGGTAATAGTCAGGTGCTCTACCAAATGAGTTATCTGACCACTGGCATTCAAATTCACCCCCCCCCCGACTGCCACATTCCTCCCTCCTTTTATCCCTGAAGACACCAACCCATGTCCTTTTCTGGCCTGGTGTCTTTTCTTTTTGGAAGGGGGGGGGGGTCTTTACACTGAGAGGAATGTTTCTTTCAGACAGCGTCCAATGGCCAGAGAGTTCATTTGATTTGGTAGAGCTCCTGACTAGTGATGATTCAGAGGGGGCATTTAAAGTTATCGTATCAATGTGATCATGTTTTAATATTATAACGTTACAAAATATTAATAAATCTACAATGGAGGTACAAATGGAAGTTTTGTTATACACTTGGGGATGTAGACGAAACAGGTTTTTAGATAATGTACATGTGTATGTAAATCATTCATTTACAAAAACATATTCGACTCTATCGTTTGTAGATATTTTTAGTTTTAATTCATTGCATTAATTTCTTCTCTTCAACTTTAAAGTCTTACCGTGATTTTAACATTCAAACGCAACAACAAAAAAATGTCAGTACAGTCACACGACAATATTTACATGGTTAAGAGTTTTTAAATTCCGATCCCGATGTAATATCCCGGTTCGTTTAATTTCGTAGTTACAACTCAACCATTTTCAGAGAAAGAAATGTTAATAACTTATGCTAAATTAATTATCGTTCAATGAAATGGGTTTGTGGTTATGATTGTCTGTTCACTCTACATATTGCAACGATCTGGTAGAAATATAGAGAAATTTCAAGGTTCCACATTCCATTTATTACATCATGGAAAATGGAATAAGCAAGTAAGCAAGGAAATGGGATGATTGGAAAATGCCATGAAAAATCATAATAACACATCATATATACATAGCACAAATAGTCTTAATATATTTGTATCAATATGGTAGGTAATATACAATCTGCGCTTAAAAGATTCGCTGCATAAAGGGAGATAACTCTGTAAATGAATTACAATTAATTAAACTATCAATTCTCCCTTTAAATATTACGATCTGAAATCATAAAACAGTTAAACAACAAAATCACTAATACGTTTTAATTATATATAACACAGACTTTACCATTTTCCATTGTCATTTAATATATAAAACCATTAATATCATAAATATCGCACTGGCAATCTTAGGGACTTCAGCCTTTCCGATTCATCATAGGGTCAACATGGCTCATAGTAATATGTCCCGAGCAGAAAACTTCAAATTATCATAGTTTACATTAGTAAACCTATCATCGTACACTCCTTGAGAACAAGAAAAGAAATCAAAAGAAACAACAGACCCCGTTTACTAATTTATTTTATATTACTTGACATCTGATCAAATTTCAGATAAAATACTTTCACAGATTGCATTAGATGACTTGTTACCCAATAACGGACTCCCCAGAATCAGACCTACAATTAAACAGAAAAATATTTACCTCAATGCTTTACATGTTTTGTTTTTAAAATGATGTTTATCGCATACAATTGATGAACTGAACATATTGGACTATGGAGTACATAGTGTACAAAATACATATGAATCTATGGAATACAATAGAATAGAATATATATATTAACACATATGCCACTACCAACATCATATTTTTGGGTTGCAAGTGAAATGGTCTCAGTTTGGGTTGCATCATACGGAAGTAGGACGTTAGGATACTGTATAATGCCCTTGGGACCCCCCTCTCTCTTTCTGTGTGTATCGGTGAATTTATGTACTTACTTCCCCGAGCCAGATGTTTGTTACGCATCATCATCTCAAATTTCTTGATATTTCTGGTATTTACATAAAATAAATACAATTTCCAAAAGGGATTGCACAGCAGATATTCAAATCTCAATTTTACGGCGTCTCTGTTTATATCCAATCATTCCACTTTACTATTATATAAAAATTTCCACTGGTAATTCAAAAAATAAACCAAAATGAAGAAGAACCGTCGCTTTTATTTATGGAAGGGATCATTTTAATTCTTTTTTTTTTAAATTCATGAGGGTGGATGTTTGTAGGCAACCAAAATTTTAATGGTTCGATGAGCGTAATGTTTGCACTAATCACCCGTTTATACAGAAGATGAAATATTGCAAACAGGGAAATTTTTGCCCCGTTTTATTTTCGCCCCATTTGCCAAAATCTCGGGTGGACGATTTTAAAACGGAACGAATTTAAAGAAAACGGTATATTTTTTTAACAGAACTGTGAATAAGCGAATTTAAAAACGGGACAAAATTGTTTGAAAATGCACATGGGGGAATAAAAAGGGACGAAAATATCCCTGTATACGATAAACTGATCTGACACGTATTCGTGGGTTAGGATGATCCACACATTGGTCCTCTATGAAAAAATAATGATTCCACAGGAACCCTCCTCTGTCTCCCATCTCATTTCTATTTTATATACAAGTTCCTTTCCAAATTACGTCAAGATAAAAACAGTACTCACCCTAGAGGCATTTCACACACGAATGGTTTTACTGTATCACAGGGGTAGTCTTCCCATTTATAATGTAAGCCCGCTACCGCCAGGACGCAATTCTCACCAGTGTGACCATTGGGTTCGTTTTTCCCCCAGTTATTTATAGAAATATCGTCCATATTAGAGGAATAAACCCAGTGATTTTCATTTATAATATCCGAAATACCTAGCCAGTAGTCCTTCCCTGTAATATTAAAGTGTTTGTTTATAGCCCTACTTGTCGGAGATAATCTGAAAGTTTCATTTGTATGTCATGCAGTATATTAACATTAATTTTTGATATACGAGTAACTGCAGACTATGAACACTATAAAAAACACTCTTCAGCAGTTTCCCCCTGATTTGAAAGAAGTTTAATAAAATTAGTGCATTAAAAATTTTATTCATGATTCATACATAACTAACATTGAAATTTTTATTGTTACAAATTAACTCACCTAAATGTTCAGCAAATCCAGAGATAAAGTTCATCTCAGACATGGTCTTTGGCTCTGCTAAATATGTGTGGTAGGCTTGGCATATACTCTGTCAAATATATATACTCCACATATATACTTGTATGATTTTAAAACTTGTATAAAGGAAAATCTTCGGCATATCGTTCAATTTCGCTCTATTATTACGAATGCTTTTTATTTAAATCATTCACTTTGATCTATTAAAACAGTGATGAGGAAACAAGATAAAATAGTTAAAAATGAAAAAAGTTCCAAACCACAGGTGCTTAAGGACAGGACCCCCTCCCCCCTTCGATATACACCCATAGGCCTTCTCGACTTTTTTCTCATAAATAATCTATCATTGACATATTTGTGATGGGACCTATACCAACAAATCGAAAAAATACCTAAACAAACGTTCTATAAAATCCACCCTATCTATAGATCTAGAGTGGGGTAGAAATTTTTATAAAATGTTAGTTTAAGCTAATTTTCTGAATTGATAGGATAGATTATATCACAAATGTGCCATCCATATATAATTTATGTGAAAAAAGTCTAACTGAATCGGGGATCTATATTGGGGGTGGGGGTGGGTGGGATTGTCCTGTCCTCAAACACCTGTGTTCCAAACATGAAATTACTTAAAAGATTTATATGACTAACAAACCATTCTACATCAACCTGTTTCCAATGTAAATGGGGTTAACGAACAGTATTCAAGACCAAAGGTCCATAGAAAAAACAAACATGGACCCCCGAAACATTACAGGTGGGATTAGGTGCCACGGAGGAGTGAGCATCCCCTGCCGATCGGTCACACTCGCCTGAGATTGTTGATACTCACCGAGGCTGCTGGCCATGGTTCAGCTAACATGCTGAACATGTAACATTTATCTTGATGCTGTACCCAGCCGTCCCTACAAGCTGTTAATATAAATACTGAACGATTACTGATATGTCCATTCCTACAGGCTTTTAATTAATAAATATTAAAATACAGTATGTAGATGTTAATTAATCAAGATTAAAATAGATACTAAATGATTATTGATATGTTCATTAGTAATACTGAGTTACTAGTACTGATTTAATTATCACTGTTTTGATAGTGAGCTATAATAGTTCTTTTCCTTTGAACATTTATAGAGACTTGATATCGTCAATGGTTATAAACAGATAAATTACTCTCTGATTTGCCATTGATATTATTTTGACGTATTTTGTGTTTTAACTGAGTGTGTTTATCGATGGAGATAAAAATGGTTGGGTAAAAAATGAAGATGCCTTTTAATAGATTTCTTAAAATAAATCAGGGGCACATCAATAGAATCTTCACTTGTGGCATGTATCCCTTGGCTATGTATCCAAGATGGTACGATAGAAATATGAAGCTTTCTTAAAGGGATAATGAAGAAGATCAAACCAAACTCCTGTTTACCTTGAATATGTTCCATACATGTTACTAGTAAAAGAAATAAAACGAAAGTTTTTGGAGGCATCGTAATGGCGATAAATGTCCGTGTTATTATGACGAAATGATGATAAGGAATTGTATAATGTCTAGATATAGGCCAATCTGAGGAAACAGGAAGTTACCGGTCGTCGAAACAAAATTCGATGACCATCTGCAAATATACAGTATGTTAACTTTACTGTGTAGTATAATGTCTGTAGTCTATAACATATAAACAAGTCGCATTTCAAAATAAATATTATCCACGTTACCATGAATATCTTGCTTAAAAGGGAGGGGTGTATTCCGTTACATTTATATAATGCATAAAGGCGTCGGAGGCAGAGTAAAATTTAAGTGAGGGGCTAACTGAAAATAGGGGGCTAGAACAACAAAAGAAAAACCTTTTGGGACTAAGCCCAATTTCCAATGCCTATATTACGTCTATCTTTCTAAAGTGGGGAGGTACTAAACTTCCCCCCCCCCAGGTCTCAATGTCTATGTAATACCGGTAAATATTTTGCTGATCACAGCCAGATAATATAGAGCATAGGAAAACATAATTTAAGCATACATCATACTTTTAAAACATTGCCGTTTATATGTTAAAAAGGTACCTGGAGTAGTCCAATAATTACACAAAAGGAATTTTATTAAGCATGAGCTGTTTTCTTTTCGAAACCATCTAATGAGTAGGCAATAGGAAGAGAACGTTTATATACCTTAAATGGTGACTATAAAAATAAAAAATAAGTTCTATTTCATTTATTCGTTGAGCTTTACCAAGAACAACGTACAGTGGTCAGGTTATGAGAAGCGCGTCTGACACTATATAATTATGTTGCATCTTGCATAAATCTACGATGTCAGATACGGGTGGCAGTATAGGATTTTACCCATATTAAAATCAGATTCCCTTAAAACAGTTGTAACTTGCAATGTCAACATCATTATCTTGCATGTAGACATAATTATCTTGTATGGTGGCATAAAAATCTTGCATATTGACATAATTATCGTGCATGATGGGGGCAGAAAAATTCCACCGTAGTATTCATTTTATTAGGTATAGATGTACAGTATGCATAGGGTCGGAACCGGGGGAGGGGGGGGGGGCTGTCCCAGCCCCCCCCCCCCCCCCCCTTGCAAAGATAGACATTATCTAGGCATTGAAAATGGGGGTTACCTTTTTTGTTGGTTTAGCCCCCCCCCCCCCCCCTTCAAATTGCTTCCGACGCCTATGATATGTACACATAATCGTGGATGACGTTGCTCTCTGTTGATAATGAAATACATTTATCTATTGCATGTACTATTTAATAATTACATTTGCCAATGTCTTTCCTTATACTAGTACATGTATGTCAATACAAATTAAATTGACATTCAATTTTCAACGACGTGCAGTTACACGTAGTCACATGATCAGACTTCTTGCTTATGGAAAATCATATCATTTTTATGCCCCTGAAAACGAAGTTTCGGCGGGTATGTAGTTTTTTTCTGTTCGTCCGTCTGTCTTTCTGTCTGTGTGCAAAATCGTTAACCTTGCGCATAACTTTCGAGTGAGTGGAGCTATGATTTTCATATTTCAGATGTGCATTATATATTTCTTGTGAAAAGACCTTTCTTTGGGTTCCACTAAATTTGACCTCTTGACCTTGGAGTTTGACTCTCTTTTCCAAAAAAAGTACATGTGCCACGCTTTAACCTTGGTTATAACTTTTGAACAGTTGGAGCTAGGGCTTTCATCCATTACTTGTGTTCTTATTGTGATAAGACCTTTCAGTAGGTTTAAATATTTTTGATCTTTTGACCTTGACTTTAGAGTTTGACCCACTTTTTAAAAACTTAAACCTTTTGACCTTGAACTTTGGAGTTTGACGTGCATTTGAGAAAATTCAACCCTCGCCATAAGCTGCAATACAGGGGCACGAGGTCCGAGTGTTTCACAAAAACATTAGACTTCGGGCGTCACAGGATTTGATCACATGACCAACTTAATTTCATATCCAAATGAAACTCTAAAATTGATATTTTTTCTTAATTCTGCTGACATAAGGATAACGTATAGTTACACAAATTTAATCAATTACTGCATACCAGTATTCAATGCCACCAAATGAATTAACTGTGAACTAAAATGGATTCACAAATATGTACGAATTGAAAACTAATTGAAGAATTGATATGAGTGGGTGACATTAATTTATTTTCCAAAATAGCATTCCATATTCAATCCAGACAAATTAAAAGTTTATTTTCGGCATACTAGTAGTTTCTTTACCATGAACTTTTTAATTAAAATTCAATTACGACCTTGATTCTTCTCTCACAATTAACAACGAACATGATGTACGACAGTCATTTTCTGAAATAAAGGAGCCCCGAACACCTGTATGTATATCTAATTTGATTATAATTTTAACAGAAGACAAACGATGAGGTTTTTCATTACATAATTCGTTTTTTATGGACCTGTGAACGTCTGACAGGAATAAATTAAAGACTATTAGGTGGGCCTTCCACTTCAAACTAACAATTCTTGTAATGTCAGCAATTTAAATTTCATAAAATTATTAGTCTCAGATGACGTTATAAATCAATTTATAGTTGAATCATGGTATTTGAGAAATGCTTGATACTAGTATTATAATCATAAAAATCTTTTTTTTTAATTATGGGATTTGGTATTAGATATATTCAATCTAACAATCCCAATGAAGGGGTAGGAATTTAGATATATTATATAATTGGATTTGGTTTTTAGATGTTTGGTATATAACAATTATATTTTTATGCATGCAGCAATGTCAGCAATTTTTATTTTAAATCCTCAGTGTTATACATCTCTTACGCTTCACATATCTAAAAAAAACAAACAAAACAAGATAAAAAGCAAAGAAAAAAAAGAAACAAAACAGAAGCAATTAAACAGGCTATAACACAATAAAATTGAAAATAAATATAAACAAACCCAAAACAAGCAAACACACAAAACAATAAAAACACCTAAGAAAAAAAACCAAATTAACTAAATAACGACCGAGAAAACCATAAAGAAATACACTAGTAAAACCCAGGAAAGATCAAACAATACATGTATGCATTAAATAACAATGAAAACATGTAAATATATTTTAAATAGAGTAGGGAAAAAACAAAATTCAAACCAAAAAAAAAATAATAATAATAATAAAGCTATCATTACATAGACTGTATATCTTTTTTTTTTTCCAAATCATTTATTCAATAATGTACATAACAGTGAGGCAAAACTTCAGCAGAAGCCCTCTGGTAATACTTCACCAGGGATGCCAGAAGCTCCCTGGATCGATATAATATTATATAATATATTTCCAATATTTGAACACAGAATTTTTCACATTATACTAATATATAATTATTGACGCTTCATTTCCATACATAAACATAAATATCTCAAAGGAAATTTTTACCATTTTTATATATAAAAACAAAGTATTCGTTTAACACCAATAGTTCAAGTTCAAGTTCAATTTATTCACTCAGACCATATCAATGGTACATGAGGTTCAACAATATGTACAATATATACAAAGAATAATATACAAGATACACGTGAAATGGCGGAAATATTCATATAAAGTAACAAAGATAACTATGGAGGACAGACTTTTTCATATACTCTATTTATGTAACAGCATAGTTTAATCAATAGTTTGGAGTCAGCAGATGACAACAATTCTGATAATTTGAAAAAATTTGGTCTATTACAATATTTACTGGGAAGATATTTTTTTCTACATTCGGAAAAATATTTGCATTCTAAAATGTAGTGATACTCATCAGCTATTTGTCCATTATTACAAAGATTACATTGTCTATCATTTTTGGGAATCCCAAACCATCTCCCAGTCTCAACTGGAAGACGATGATTTGTTGTTCTTAGTTTAATTAATATTGTTCTAAATTTTTTTGGTAGTAAGGCTAAATATTTTTCAAATCCAAATTCTGTTTTGAAGATACTATAAAAGAGACCTTTAGATGAATCGCGCATATTACTTTGCCACTTCTGTATGTACTGATCTTTAAGACGTTGATCAACTATAGCCTTTAGCCATTTAATATTTATAAAGGTCTGTTCATTCCACACATTTGAGAAGCCACAACTATCAAGTATATTCTTAATACATAAAATCCAAGGATTCTTATGACTTCCTGTACTGAACTGTTCAAATAAATGTCTATATGTAACATAAACAATCTTGTTTTCAGGGCTTACCAATAATTTTGCCCAATAGGATATCATTCTCGAATACACTGTTATACACAAAGGGAAGCGACCCGTTTCGCCATAAACCATATAACTAGGAGTACTACTTTTTAGATTAAAAATATGTTTCAAAAATTTAAGATGAACACGTTCAATTATATCAATGTTCTCAAAACCCCATATCTCACATCCATACAAAAGTACTGGAGTGACAACTTTATCGAACAAATCAAGCTGGCAATCTACTGGTAAATTAAATTGTCGAATTTTTCGTATAATTCCATACATGGCTTTTTGAGATTGCTCACATAAATGTTTTTTAGTTTTACAGAATGAACCTGATCGAGAAAACAGTATACCTAGGTATTTAAATTCGTTCACAATTTCAATAACAGAATTATTGTAATAAAATACATTCTTAACAGATGGACCTTTCGAAAAAATCATAATTTTTGTTTTGTCTACATTGACAGTCAGTTTCCATTGTACACAATATGAATGAAACTCATTTAGAGCATGTTGTAAACCCTCTGCAGACTCAGACATTATAACTGTATCGTCAGCATAGAACAAAATAAATAATTTAAAATACATCAAAATTTCATTTTCTACAGAGTTTGAACTGCTTACATTATTAAAAGATAGCCCATGTACATTTTTGCTGGCCAGAAACTCTTCTAGATCATTAATATACATAGAAAACAGGAGAGGTGATAAATTTTCTCCTTGGCGGACACCAATGTTACAATTATAAAATTCAGATGAAAGACCATTCATAGTCACAAGAGACTTTACACCATTATACATATTTTTTATAAAAGTAA